TGGAAACCACATCTTTACAATGTTAAACAAATTAATTTTTGTATTACCTTTCGAAAGAAAGTTTAACTTTATCTTATTCTAAAAATGAAAAAAATGGTTTAAAATCTGGGACGTTATAGATATTTTTAAAATAATTATTGTGGTAAAAATGATTTCTTAAACTATTCCAACTGCTTATGATTAGTGCTTGTTGAAAATCTTAGTTGGCCTTAGTGCTAGGCGGTCGTAGTCGGTCCTAATCGGTTCTAATCGGCCACAATGGTTCAAAATTTGTCAACAAAATTAAAAGATCGAAGTTAATAAAATAGTCCACAAAGTCAAAAAAGAAGTAAAATAATCAATAAAAACTTAAAAAAGACAATAATAAAGACAATATTAAACAAAATGGCATAATTCTCGGTTCTCATCTAGTCTTTCCGTCTATATTTTATTTCATGGAATCAACAACAACTTCTCGTTCTATTCACATCGACATCGGTGCTGATTTTGGATTTAATGTATGATGATTCGTGACTTAAATGAATAGACATTAAATTATGTCGTTTTTATGGTCATTTACTTATTTTGTTAGGATATTGGTATTATTTATTTATTTTTTTAAATAAATACTTTTATAATTTAAGGTCTCTAATTAATTCCATATTTAACTCCGTTTATACCGATTAATCATGCGACCCACCCTGGTCGACCGCAGAGGCGAGTCTACCTGTATCTAAAGGGTGTCCTGGGACACCCCTTAGTTCTAAATTTTATTTACCAGATATAGCATAATTTGTATGAGACACCTGTTGCAAAAACAAATTGGACACCCTTGATAGTAACAAAGAAAAAAATAAACGATTAATGATCTTTTATATTTTGTCAATCATAATCTATTTTCAATCTTTTCAACTCTTAAAAAACTTAAGAGCAAAAAAATAGGGGTTGATTAAGCAACAAAATATTTTACGAAAATATAATAACAGATATTCTTTCAAACCCAAGACTAATCTAATTTCAATGTAGAAAAGTATAGAATTGTAAAAACAAAAAACCTAAAAAAAATTACGATTTTGTGGATTAGCCGCTGTCAAAGTGCCTTCGTCTTCTCAACTTTGGATTGCCACCGACCGCCGGCGATTCTTTACTGTTGCCGATAATCACGTTTTGGTCGCCTCCGTTCTTCAGCGGCCACAAAGTGTCTTGAACAGTTCTTGGTGTTAAAGGTTTGGACTTCTGATCGTCTTTAACGTCCTTATCTCCAGTTGCATCCATACCATCTCCGTTGCCGGCCCCGTCATTTAACCGGACGGAACTGAAGAACGTGTGGTCGTCGGCGCTACAAATTGTGCTTCTTCTCCTGGTTCTCCAACATTCCATTTACTTTTGGGTAAACCCTTTATCTCTTTAGTCTTTTATATCTCGTTTTATTTTAAATGGTTATATGGTGTAGAAACTAGAAGCAATAAAGTGGGCATAGGTCACTGTGTATATGAAAAGTCATTGTCTATGCCTCTATGGAAGAAAAGTTATAGTCTCCTCAACTGCATTTACTTTTGTTATTGTGTATGTCAGGCAAATTGTCTTTATTTGTATAATAAAGAATTAGACCAATAGTCATATCAAATTACTTTTACAGACTTCATTTATATAAGATATATTTATATAGTTTCTTTCATTTATATAACTATAACTTGTTCTGTAATATATTTTTATTATATCCATATATTTATTTGTAGCAGTTGTAATGATTATTTATTTAGATGAGTAATTATTTATTTTATCATTTTAGGCATAATGTTGAGGTATTATAAAAAAAAGGGTGAAACAAGCTCTTTATCTCATGATGATGGTAGTTCACAACAAAATGATGAACAACAAATACCTTCTTCAAAATATATGAAAGTTGATTTAAACACACTTCCCGCGGATCCCGGAGAAAGGCCAAGCATGGAAATTTATCATGTAAATCAACGAGATGAGATTAGAAGATCCTACTTACAAAAAGGGCCTTATCAACCTCAAAGTCATTCTTTCCAACAAAGAGAGATTGGAGGAAAACTTCGTAGATTTGTTCCCTCTTGGTTTGATGATCACAAATACTGGCTAGAGTACAATATTAAACTTGAAGCCGCATTTTGTTTATGTTGTTATCTATTTAAATTTGAGATTAAAAACCACGGTGGTTCAGATCATTTTGTAAAAAATGGATTTAATACTTGGAACAAGAGAACAAGTCTAAATCATCACGAAGATGGAAGTCCACATAATATGGCAATCCAAAAGTGTCAAAATCTGATGAACCAAAGACAATCCATAGCTACTGCTTTTGATAAGCAAACTAATTTGATGAAGACCAACCAACGCATCAGATTAAATGCTTCTATAGATTGTATTAGATTGTTACTGCGACAAGGGTTAGCTTTTTGGGGTCATGATGAAAGTGAAGACTCGAATAATAGAGGCAACCTTCTTGAACTTCTTCAGTTCTATGTTGATCGAAATGATAAAGTAGGTGGTGTTGTTTTAAAGAATGCTCCTAAAAATTCACAAATGACATGTAGTTCAATTCAAAAGGATATTGTACATGTTGCAGCAAAAGAAACTATTAAGACTATTGTGAAAGGTATTGGAGATGAATTCTTTGCAATATTAGTAGATGAATCACGTGATGTGTCTTGTAAAAGAGCAAATGGCATTGGTTTTGCGGTTCGTGAATAGCCAAGGGGTTATAGTGGAGAGCTTTATTGGCATAAAGCATGTCAGTGACACTTTAGCTTTGGCATTAAAGGCAACTATTTATTCATTTCTAACAGAATGTGGATTAAGTCCACATAGGATCCGAGGACAAGATATGATGGAGCTAGTAATATGAGTGGTGCATTTAATGGATTGAAGACACTTATTATGAAAGAAGTGAAATCTACACATTTTATTCATTGTTTTGCTCACCAATTACAATTAGCACTTGTATTTTTTTTGCAAAGAATCACCCTGACATCAATGACTTTTTTTATTTGACTTCTCGTTTGTTAAACATGATTGCTTCTTCTTATAAACGTCGAGACAAATTAAGAGAGAAACAAGCAACAAAAGTGGTGGAAGCATTGGCCACAGGTTTCTTTTATTCTATTTTCTTATTATTTTATGGCAATTTATATATATATATGTATATATATATATATATATATATATATATATATATATATATATATATATATATATATATATATATATATATTGCTAATTTATTTTTTATGTTAATTTTAGGTGACATTCAAAGTGGTACAAGTTTGAATCAAAAAGTTGGTATCAAACGACCGTGTGATACTCGTTGGGGTTCTCATTTTGGTTCACTCTTAAATATCAAGAGAACGTATTCTTCAATTTGTGAAGTACTTGAAGACATTAAAGTTGATAGTTATTATCAAGATCATAGAGCAGAAGCACGTCGTCTCTTGAAGTCATTACAAACGTTTGATTTTATTTTTTGCTTACACTTGATGGTTGATATCTTAGGGGTCACATCACGTTGCAAAAAAAAAGATCAAGATATTGTAAATGAAATGCATCAAGTGAGATCCTCTAAGACCAGACTAAAACAAATGCGAAATGAAGGATGGAAACCACTCTTAAATGATGTTACTTTGTTCTGCAAAAAATGTGATATTGAAATTTTGAATATGGAAGATCCATATTACAATGGAGCAAGTCGTCGCAAAGGTTTACAGGTTAGCAACTATAAAGTTGATCTATTTCCTCAAGTTTCTAATGTAATCATTAACCAGTTGTTCTATTTAATTCGCAGATTAACAACTTACATCACTATAAAATTGATGTATTTATTGCGGTCATAGATATGCAATCTCAAGAGCTCAACAATCGATTTAATGAAGTAAACATATCATTACTTGTTTACATGGCTTCTTTTTGTCCAAGTAAGTATTTTCAAGCATTTAATGTGGAAGAACTACTTAAGATGGCGACCTTTTACTCTAACGAGTTCCAAGAACATGACATTGGAACACTTAGAGCAAGTCTTCAAAATTATATTGTGGATGTACGTGGAGATGCAAGGTTTAATAACTTGAAGGGAATTGGAAACTTGGCAAAAATGATGGTTGAAACGAACAAACATACGATATATCCAATGGTGTATCTTCTACTAAAATTAGCATTGATATTGCCCGTTGCAACATCCACAGTGGAACGCGCTTTTTCTGCAATGAAGTTGATAAAGAGCGATTTGCGTAATAAAATGGGTGATCAATTTATGAATGATTGTCTAGTTTCATATATTGAGAAAGATGTGTTAGATGGTATTAGCAACGACATACTTATAGATTTTTTTAGGGATATGAAAACTCATCGTGAACAATTGTAAGAAATTTATGTTTTTTTTAAATTAGTTTGATCTTTGGTATTCAAGTTAAAAAAATGTTTTCCTAAGATGATATTACTAACAAACCGACCCGATAACCATTTTTTTGACCCATTTATTTTATCATTTCATTTATGGGACACACGTTAGTTTGAATCCTAGATTCGCCACTGGTCGACCGACTAACTACCTTCAAACATTTTTTACAACCTTATAAAATACTCATATAATTTTTCGAATTAGATGATATAAGAAATTGTAGAAATCGACAAGATTTTATGTTGCATATGTCATATGGTGGAGCCTTATTTCCAATGTGGATTAGGTTCCTTGTTGGTAACGATGCTTCCACCTAACGAGCCACTATGTTGTAATATAGATCTCGTACGATGCTCTTGGGATCAAACAAGTGGACTGACTTAACTATGCCAACATAAAACCCTATTTGTAGAAAGTTATTGCCGAAACAATATTTTCTTTACCTATCACGATAAAACGTTTTATCTATAATTCATTTATACCATCAATATTATAACAATTACATTTGTGTTCAACCATCTTCCAAATAAATAAATAAATAAAATAAAGTAAAGTCCGAATTGAGTTACTTTACAAATATATACCATGAAGGGCACTTGGGTCACATACCTTCTCCCATGATATGGTGAAGCATAGGTAGGGAAGAATCATGTGGTGAAATTATTGAAGTTGTACTAGCACTCTTAAATGTTGTAGAATCGTCAAACTCGAAAAAAGTCAAGTACTCGGGTCGAGTAATGACACCAGTTACTTCTATGTCTCCGGAAAGCATTGCCACCACACGAGACATTGATGGACGTTGTGTTGACGATGTTTGAGTGCATAAAAGGCAAACTCTTGTCATTCTTTTCACTTCGGTCTCATCAAATTCAGACAATTCTTCATCCACCAACTCTAATTCACGATTATCTTCATGTAGCTTCCATGCCTAAAATAAAATCATACCAAAGGCCAGTAAAGATTATAAAATTTGTATCATCGGTTGGTCGTCTATTTTCAAATGCATTGACAATGATATTCTTTTTTTCATGTTTGAGTTTTATTAAATTTTGTATTCAAGTTTTCTTATACCACGACATACATGAAAGTTCGTTACCTTAATTGAGAAAAATTTTAGCAGTTTGTAACCTTAAATAGATTTTTTTTAAAGTTTAGGCCATTTTTGTCAAAAGAAGTATACTTTAAAAATATTATAACCAAAGTTATATTACCTTTTTATGTAATTCTCTTTAATTAGTTTATTATATAAATCCTTCTTTTTTCTTGGTAAGAGTAGGCGAGTGTATAAATTCGTATGTGGATATTTCGGCATGTATCAAGAAGAAGATGAAGCATACCCAATTAAGAAGGTATATTTTCTCATCTTCCAAACTTGAATCAGAATTGGGCCTTCCACTGATAATCTCTAGAGCCACAACTCCAAACCCAAACACATCAGCCTTCTCTGTAAGGTGTCCCCACATTGCATACTCTGGTGCAAGATACCCACTACACAATGAATCAGTAAGACCTAGTCAACTTGTTGTCACTTAAATGAGAAAAAGTTCAAATATCAAGTAATTAAATCTTACAATGTGCCTGCAACACGAGTACTCAAGTGTGTTTTCTTGTCATCATAAAGTTTGGCAAGACCAAAATCCGATATCTTAGGATTCAAATCAGAATCAAGCAAAACATTGCTAGATTTCACATCTCTATGTATAATCCGTAAGCGAGATTCCTCATGGAGATATGCGAGACCCCGTGCTAATCCCACGCATATGTCGAAACGGGTGGACCATGTAAGCGACAATCTGTTGGTTCCTACATCATAGACCCCAAATGTAACATTATAACATTGTACTTTGATCATATCTAAATATGTAATTTCTCACCAAATAATGCTTGGTCAAGACTTTTGTTTTCAAGATACTCATATACAAGAAGTCGTTTCTCTCCATCAATGCAGCATCCGTAGAGTTTCACAAGGTTACGGTGTTGGACTGCAGATATTGTAGCAATTTCTGCCACAAATTGACTCCTACCATGTTGGGAGGCTATGGATAGTTGTTTGACAGCTATAACTCTTCCATCTTCAAGTGTTCCCTGTTTGTCATCAAAGATATTCAGTTTAAATTTAAGAAGCAATAATTAAATTCTTGATAAGAAAAAAAGAGCATAAACTACCTTGTAAACAGGTCCAAAACCACCCTCCCCAAGCTTATTTGCAGGACTAAAATCATCTGTTGCATCTCTCAATTCTTCATAACCAAAAGTATATGGCTTGGCATCAATTCCCAGAAAGTCTGCAATTCAACAAAAGAAAATGTCATAATGAAATGCAAATAAAACAATCGAAAACATTTTTCATATATGTCAAAAAGAAAGATCAAGAAAAAAACACCTTCATGATTGTCCGAGGTATCCTGCCTTTTCCTTCGCTGAAGAAAAATATACAGGGCTAATAATGTCAAAAAGCTTGCAGCTGCAATTGAACCAAAATCCCTACAATCAAACCGGTTTTATTCTTGTTGTTGTTGGAAGGTGGATTGTTGTTCACTCTAGGGATGAAGTCTGTAAAAAAAAAAAAAAAAGTAAAGGGCAGTCTCGTCATTTGTCAATAATCAAGAGCAAAGAGTTAAGAAATCAATTTGATGAAAGAATATTTACTTGGGGTAGCAGTGATTGCTGAGATAAGAGGTCCAAAAGTTCCATCATCAGGTACACAACAAGTCCCCTTTCCAGACCAAAATAAATGTATCTCAATGTAATTATTTGAAACCTGAACCATTACTTCCTTCGAAACAGGACTAAATGAAGCTCCCCCTGCTTCCCTCTTTATATCAAAATCTTCAAACACCCGATTTCCCTTGAAAAACACAAGATTTCAGAAACTAACTTATAGAAATTAGCGCATAAAGAATCAATTATACTCAAGACCAAACATGTAATTTACTCTAATTTCAGTAAATTACATTGTTGGTCCATAAGTATAGTTGATTTTTAAACTTTGGTCCTAGAAAGTTTACGCATTCAATTTTTAGTCTTTATTTTAGGTTTTTGTAACATTTTAGTCCATGTTCCCAGTAAAAAATGACTACTTTTGGTCACCGAGTATAGCTGATTTTTGCAATTTTGGTCCAAGAATATAGTCATGCTAAACAAGGTCTAAAATGGCAAGAGAATATTTTTTGGGACCAAAATTGCAAAGATCGGCGTGGAAATGATCCATGCGGTTTGGTTGAAATAGCAGGTTCAGTCCAATTTCAATTTTTGTTGCATGGCTGGTTCTCGTTGTTTCATTTTATTGCAAACTTGGTCCCTATGTCGTTAAATCTAACAACTCAGCCGTTGGTCTTTTCAGTAAGAGCATTTTACCCTCGGAGAAAATCAGTAAAAACAATATTGTAATTATGAAAGTGTATTTAGTTTAGCAGAGAGTAGAAACCTGGATATAAATGTCAAATACACGCCTTCCAAGGCTTCTCCAAGTGGGACCATCTTAATCTCAATTTCTGCAAAGCGAAGGTTTACAGTGTAGTTACCATTTTCAAGGCCTAAACCATAATATCTTAAAGATCCAGCAGAGAGTCTTGCTGTTTGGAAGAGTTGTGAATCTGAAGTGTTTGTGAAGTCGCGTGGAGTGGAAACTGTGTATCTGGGGTTGTCCCTTTGTCCCACATTGCTGACACCCCACCTCCTCTCGGGAGTCAAGTAATATGCTGCTGGTCCTAAAAGTTGGTTTCTTGCTCGTGGACTATTTGACTTGAGGATGTGATTCGTGGGCCACCACAATTGATTCCAAAGTTGCTATCTGTAAAGATTCATGAAAAGGTGACAAATTTTAAGTGTTATAATAAAAAGAGAAACTTTATGTTTTTTGCTTACATCTTGGTGATCCACGATCACAAGGAAAATCCCTTTGGAGACAATTCAATTCTGAGGGCAAAGCACTGAGACAGAAGATATTGCGTTTTAATTAGAAAGGTGCATATAAATAAATGAGTTAATCACAAAAATGGAAATTTTGTATCACAAAATGACCACCTTCTCAACTTTTAACACAAAAGGACCACAAATTTCGAAAAAAAAAAAAAAAAAGTTTGTTATTTGCGAAATTACTTCTTCTGACGGTTACTTTGCTAAAAAAAGTTTGCTAATTCGTGAAATTACTTTTTATGACATCATATTCACGGTCTTTTTTCCCCAAAGAATTTTGTTTTTGGAAGTTGTGTAAGTTAAGTATTTCTTTTTAAATGTAAACAAAATTATTTGCAACAAATTTGGTTAAGATTTTTGGGTTCTCCAACGAAGCATGCTGGTTCGACCCCAGGAAAGACCAATTTCCACACATTTTGCGGAAACTAATTTTGTTTAAATTTGAAAGAAATAATTATATTGGCCAATTTGGCGATTTTTATTAATTTCTTATAAATAACTTTTTCTGCAAAAAGAAGGTATTGAAAATGAAAATTCTGCGAAAAAATGTCATTTTGGCAATAACACAAAATAAAATTTGCAAAATATGGTGGTGGGGACCATTGAAAAAGAAAGTTTTTCGTGCAATAACACCACCCACAACCGTTCCTTCAAGCTTCTTTCAAACTGGAAGGTGGATATTATTGCAAGCCACATCAAATTTCCCTTTCAACTACACCAATGCTTGCAAACACTTATTGGTCGGGCCCTTTTGAAATAACAAACATATTATATATAGACCTGGCAATTCGTGTATTCGTGTCATGAAAACGTGTTAGCCACAGACTCGTGTATTCGTGTCGTGTCGTGTCTCTCACAGACTTGTGTATTTGTGTCTGGAATTGCCAGGTCTAATTATATATATATATATATATATATATATATATATATATATATGGTGTGTGTGTGTGCTTTTTTAATGCAACATCTCCTCAAATATTGAGATATATATTGAGTATTAGATTTTTTTAAATTTTATATTGAATAATTAATTTGATATATATATATATATATATATATATATATATATATATATATAATATATATATTATATATAAAAATAAAAACCATATAGTTTAGAGTTTAATTAATATCTATAACTAAATTTCACATTATAAAGTAGATTATTAGGAAATAAAACAATCTTAGTACAAATCATATATATATATATATATATATATATATATATATATATATATAATACGGGTTAGATTATTGTGTTCTAACTATCTATTGTGTGCATGTAGGATTGATTCTGGACCAATCATTTAATTATTTTAAAAAAATAATTAATGCATATTACATGTTAAAGATATAATGAGTATTAATTAAATCTTCAGCATTTAATATGCATTAATTACTCCCTTAAAATAACTAAAATGATTGGTCCAGAATCAATTCTACATGCACACAATAGATAGTAGAAACATTTGAACGTAACTTATATATATATATATATATATATATATATATATATATATATATATATATATATATATATATATATATGTTATGTTATTATTAGATAATTATTAGTTTTAAATAGTATAGATATTAGTTAAAAAATAAGTATTTGTTAATGTGGCAGTAGGGACCACTAATGACAGTTGGTTGATACTGCATTGGTGTAGGGATCATTGCAAGTGCTGATGTGGCAAGTTTGAAAGACGAGTGACATTGGACAGGTGTGGATGGTCCAAGTGGTCTTGTGAAAATGATGCAGGGGCATCTGATGACAACCTCATATTGGCTGATTTTGTCCCGTTTTAGATTATTTCTTTCTTTATTTAAAGAAGAGTAAATTACATGAATGGTCCCTATGGTTTGGGGTAATTTGCATATTTGGTCCCTAACTTATTTTTTTAACTCGGAATGTCCCTACATTTTGTTCTTGTTGCGCGCTTGGTCCTTATCTTACCTAAAAAGACTATTTTGTCATTGATTTTTTAATTTATTTAAATAAGGTGGGGTAGGTAAGGTAATAATGTAAGGTGAGGTGGAAATGGGGTTGGGGTGTGTTTATTTAAATAAATTAAAAAATCAAAGGCAAAATAGTCTTTTAGGTAAGACAGGGACCAAGTGCGCAACAAAAACAAACAATAGGAACCTTCTGAGTTAAAAAATAATTTAGAGTAAATTACACAAATGGTCCCTATGGTTTATGGTAATTTGCATGTTTGGTCCCTAACTTATTTTTTTAACTTGGAAGGTCTCTACGGTTTGTTTTTGTTATGCACTTGGTCCATGTCTTACCTAAAAAGACTATTTTTGCCATTGATTTTTTAATTTATTTAAATAAACACACCCCCAACCCCACCCCTTACCTTACCTTACATACCCCACCATTTTCCATATTTAAATAATAGTCTTTTTAGGTAAGATAGGAACCAAGTGTGTAACAAAAACAAATAATAGGGACCAAGTGCGTAACAAAAACAAATAGTAGGGACCTTCCGAGTTAAAAATATAAATTAGGGACCAAGTGCGCAAATCATCCCAAACCATAGGGACCATTCGTGTAATTTACTCAATAAGTTAGGGACCAAACGTGCAAATTACTCCAAACCACAAGGACCATTCGTGTAATTTACTCTTTAAAGAATAAAGATTTTTATTGGAAGATTATCTCTATTTGTGGAGCATATCTCTAATCGAAATCCTAGAGTATTTTAGTTACTTTCCTGTTTTTTCTAGGGTGATTCTATTTTCCATATAAGTATGTTGATTTCCCTAGAGGATTTCATTATTTGATTATTGAAAATAAAAATCTACCAAGACTTTTAGATCTCATTCTTTACCATGTGTAGTTTTGCATCATTTCATATTAGAGCACCACACCAGGTTGTCTTTCAAATGGTAGGAAGTGGTAGATGTAACCCTTGTAGACACGCCGATGGAGGCAACGATGGAGAACAACCGAATCCACGTGATATCGAAAATGAAAGAGTACAATAGCAAGTTAGAGAACTGGAGCTGCTAAAGAGGAGCCAAACACGGAGGGGCCGAGTCGGAATTCAACTATAGGGACGAAGAAGAGAATCCTTTCGGCACCCACAGGTGGAATGCATTTGAAACATACCAACGGCATAATTAGAGACAAAACAATGAAAATCCTTTGCGTAACTATGGTGGGAACATGAGAAAAAACGACACCAAAAAGACGGAACGACTAAAGTGAAGACTTGGTCAGAGATGAAGAAGTTACTGCAAGGCAAGTTCCTTCAAGTCAATCACCGTCAAAAAGCCTTTCTAGATTACCGTAATGTCACCCAAAAGGGTTCCTCTAATGAAGACTTTATCATGGAATTTGATCGACTCAGAATGCGTTGTGCTCTTAAACCTGGAATTGCGAATATCGTTCATATTGCGGACATCGTTTATCTCCAACAATATTAGACAACAAATTTATAACGTCTTCCTAATCACCACAGACACCAACAAACAAGGAAACTAACCTTAAAATCGACACCCCAACACATACTACCATCAACCCACCCGTCCCTAGTATCATTCGATGCTTCAAATGCCTCACATTACTAGAGATTGTCTGAACAAACAGTTAGTTACATTGGTGGAAGAATCGGTTCCTGTTTATGACACCAAAGATGAAAAAGAGAGTGATGGGGAAGAAATTGAAGTGATATATTCCGATCGTTGTGACCTCCTAATTACCCAACGTGTTTTAAATGTTGAATAACAGTTTTCGCACCAAATGCATAACAAAAGGGAAATTGTGTAGGGTTATAATTGATGGAGGCAGTTGCGACAACATGGTGGCAACGACAATGGTGTAGAAATTAGGCCTTAAGGTGGAGAACCATCCAAAACCATATCAACTAACATAGCTTAAAAAAAGGGAATGTCGTCAAAGTAAGGAAACGTTGTTTGGTTCACTTTTCGTATTGGCACCTCTCGACACAAGAGATAATCATGTTGAGAGTTTATTTCCATCTAAGATTGAAGTCAGGGGTTAACCAAGTTTAGCCCTCAACCCCTCATTTATGCGCTGGTGGTAACAGAAGAAAACAGACCTGCCCCAACAGTCCCGAACTGATCCAACCCTTCATCGAAGAATTTCAGGATGTTTTTCGAAGAATTTGCAGATGATATTCCACCAGGGTTACCACTAATGAGGGAAATACAACACTGTATTGACTTCTTACCAGGCTCCACCATCCCAAACAAACCCATCTATCTCATGAAACCGAGAGAATTTGAAGAGTTACATCGACAAGTAAATGATCTACTTGAAAAAGGGACAATACATGAGAGTACAAGTCTGGATAATACGTGAGAGTATGAGTCTGTTTTCTGTTCCAGCATTGCTAGTTCTGAAACACGGAGGCACTTTTCGTATGTGCATCAATAGTCGAGATGTCAATAAAATAACTATTAAATATTGATTCCCTATTCCTCGTTTCGATGATTTGATCGATCAATTGCATAGCTGAACAGTTTTCTCCGATATTGACTTACGAAACGGGTATCACCAGATTCGTATGCGACCCGCTGATGAGTGAAAAACCGCTTTTAAGGCATATGAAAGATTATACGAGTGGTTGGTAATGCCCTTCAGCTTATCAAACACACCAAGCACGTTTATGCGGCTGATGAACCATGTTTTTAAACCCGTTATAGGCCATTTTGTTGTTATTTATTTCGATGACATATTGATCTTCAGAAAAGATACATAACATGTAACACACCTTCAGTAGGTTTTTACGGTCTTGTAGGAATAGGAACTATATGACATAATGGAAAGAAGTGCCATTTTCTTACTAACGAAGTTATCTTTCTTGGATATTTAGTTTCGCGCGACTAGATAAGGATGAACGAATCGAAGGTTGAAGCCATCACAAGTTGGCCTACATCCACTACGATTCATGACATTCGTAGTTCTCATGGGTTAGTCTCGTTCTATCAGTGTTTCATATGGAATTTAATATCATTGCCCCTACGACGGAGTGTATGGGAGGCGGAAAGTTATGTTGAACGAAAGAGGTTGGAACGTGTTTGATGAATTACAACGAAAAGTCACACAGCTCCTATTTTAGCTTTTCCTAACTTTAGCAAAGTATTTTAGGTTGAATGTGACGCCTCAGGTCTTGGAATAGGTGGAGTGCTACGTCAAGATCAGAAACCAATCGCTTTTTTAGCAAAAAGTTCAACGAAACGCGTTGCAAATATTCTATGTACGATAAGGAGTTTTATGTCATTGTTCGGAGTTTGGAATATTGACGCCATTACTTGTTAGCCAATGAGTTCATTCTATATTCTGATCATGAAGTGCACATCCAGGGGCAACAAATACTCAACCCTTGCCATGTTTAGTGGGTCGAGTTCTTGCACGCTTATTCTTTCGTCATCCGATACAAAGCGGGATCATCAAATACCGTTGTTAATAAGATAAGTTGACGACACGTACTCACATCTGAGATGAAAATCCAGGTTCGGGGTTTTGAGACTTTTTGAGAATTATACCGACTTTAGAACTATCTGGAACAAATGTCAAAACGAACCTCTTTGAGATTTTTCAAAACATGACGGTTATCTCTTCAAGGGTGCTCGCTTTTATCGGCCTAAGATGGAGCGAAATATTGCCCTTGTGATCACACGTTGTCACATTTGTCATGTGGCCAAAACCCACCACACCAGTGCAGGTTTGTACACTCCATTACCTGCTCCTGTTGCTCCTTGGGAGGACGTTAGTTTGGACTATGTCTTGGGTTTACCTCGAACTCAAAGACATAAAGATTCGGTTATGGTAGTTGTTGACAGATTTTCTAAAATGGCTCATTTCATACCATGTGTCAAGACCTATGACGCTAGTCAAATTGCAAGGATGTATTTTTCTAAAATTGTCAATCCACATGAAGTTCCCAGGACTATAACTTCAGACGGCGACGTGAAGTTCGTTAGCCATTTTTGGCGCACACTTTGGAAAAGCATGGGCTTAAGGTTACAATTTAGTAGCTCTCAACATCCACAAACGGATGGCCAAACAGAAGTGACAAATAGGAGTCTAGGGAACCTGTTGCAAAGCCTTATCAGGGACAACCCCACGCAGTGGGTTCTCATCCTTTCTCAGGCTGAGTTTGCATATAACCGTTTTGCCAATAGCACAACTGGGTTATGCCCATTCATGGTAGTTTATGGGCGAAATCCACTCACTCCGCTTGATTTAACGCCCATTCCCCTGATTGGCCATCTTGGTGTTGAGGCGGAAAGTCATTCCTAACAGATTAAGAATCTAGACGAAAAGGTACCAGATCAGATCATTAAAGATAATGTTGGCTACCACAGTAGTGCCAAGAAGCATAGGAAGCAAGTTGTTTACAATGAGGGTGATCTGGTATGGATTCGTCTGCGAAAAGAACGTTTTCTGATTGGCCGTTTTGGGAAGTTGAAGCCTCGTGCTGATGGTCCTTTTCGAGTTCTTAAGAAGATTAATGACAATGCATATAAAATTGAGCTACCTGGTCATTATAATGTTTCAGCTACTTTTAATGTGGCTGATTTATTGTTGGATATAATCTTGATGTGGAAGATTGAGTTGAATAAAAAAAAGAATGGGTCATAACTTTGACTGATATGCATGGGAATGGACCGGGTATTATGGAGATTATTCAGTCATTTTGTATACCCACGTTTCTGTTAGGATGAGTGCCTATTTTGTAGGTACAATAGTTTATAAATAGATTAGGTTGTCATTTGTTTTATAGATGTAATCAGTTTTTCTTTCTTGAAAGTAATATAGCAGTGAGAGCAATTACTTTGAGCAATATATGAGAGTCGTTGTCAGCATGTATGTTCTGGGGTTGTTTGCAGCTGGGTTAAAGGAAGGTTGATTACCAACAATCACCATTTGAAGGGGGTGTGGATGCTGTATCAGACTCGAAGGCGAGTCTTTTCCAAGGCGGGGAGGATGATGTAGGGGCAGCCGATCACAATTATTGGCTGATTTTGTCTCGTTTTAATTTATTTCCTTCTTTATTTAAAAAAATAAAGATTTTTATTAGAAGATTATCTCTATTTAGAGAGTATATCATCTCTAATCGAAATCCTAGGAGTATTTTAGTTACTTTTCTGTTTTTTCTAGAGTGATTCTATTTTCCTTATAAGTATATTTATTTCCCTGGAGGATTTCATTATTGATTATTAAGAATAAAAATCTACCAAAGCTTTTAGATCTCGTTCTTTACCCTGTCTAGTTTTGACCATCTGAATTCCTAAGTTTTGCATCAGAAAAGTGATAAAAAGATGGTCATTTTGTGATATAGCCCTCCCATTTTCGGTCATTTTTGTGATAATTACTGAAGAAAGAATAGTAGAAGTAAGTTGCAGCTTATGTATAATTACCTGTTTGCTGAACCGCTTAAAGTGAAGTTGTTTGCAACTATGTTACTGTACACGCATTAAAACATAATATTAGCTAAAAACGTGGATGCTAGAAAACCAATTTCAAAGACAAGGTGCAAATCAGAATTTAAATTCAATATTTAAAGAAACAAGTGTATACACTTGTAAGGTCGGATCAGTGGCCCAGAAAGGAAGTGTCCCAGATAGTTTATTGTATGACAGATCACTGCATGAAGAAAATTGTATGGAAATTAGAAAAAGAAAATCATTAATTTCCCTTGATTAAGTAGAGCCTATAATCACTTACATAATGCGGAGAGGCGAGTTCAAAGCCAAACCACCGGGAATAGCACCAGATAAACTATTGTTTCCAAGAAACCTGCGAATCATGACATGTAAATTTGGTCAACATTCAGACTATTGACCAAATAGCATGCAGATTAATATTATTTATGATAGGAGAATATGTGTATTACAAGAAAGATATTTGCCTCATGTAGAACAATCCATTTGGAATCTCCCCCCTCAAGTTGTTGAAACTAAAATCCCTGAGAAAATAATATCAATGAGCTTTTTTTTAATAGTTCATATTCATGTTTGACTTACTCACAGTTGTGTCAGGTTTACAAATTCTACTATGCCACTTGGAAAAGAGCCAGAAATTCTGTTATACCTCAACATTCTGCAAGTGATGACAGCTTATTATAAATTTATAAATAAACCGTAAATAAAACCAATATATTTGCTACAAAAAGATCAATGTGTTTGCTTACAGAACACTCAGGGGACTTCAAGTTCTGAATAAAATCCAGAGTTCCATTAGATAAACCACTTATCCTCCTGTAACATTAAGCAAATTAAGAGATCAAAATAGCAACCTGCAAACTATAAATCTATAATAATCAATTATAATGAAAATAAAGGCTTACAGGTCTTGTAAAAGGGTCAGATTAGAAAATGAAGGTGGTATTGAACCTTCAAAAGAGTTCCCCTCAAACCTCCTATACGAACATGATGCATAAAACTTCTATTTAAAAATTTCATAGTGAAAAGCATATAAATAATCTAAATGCTTTGCTTACAAGGATCGTAACTGTGACCAATTTCCTATAAAGTCCGGTATTCTGCCTGTGAAATTATTATCAGAAGCCCATCTGTGAATTCATTATAAAAAAAGAAAGTGTTAGACTTCTTATATGATGGATAAAATGCACCTTTGAAACATGATTAAAGATAAACTCTCTTACACTGTCTGCAGGTTCTGTAAATTAGCAAAAGTAGGAGGTATATCACCACCAACTCCAGCACTATCAATGTAACTAACAAAATGAACATACATAAAGATGATATTAGATCATTTAATCAAAGATATTTGTCTACAAATATACATAACAGAATAGTAATGAAGGAGTTTGTGCCAAGTAATGAAAGAGGATTTCAAGATGAGTGTTCTTACAGCTGTTGTAATCTTCTCAGATTTCCAAGTTCAGAGGGCAGGGAACCACTGAAATTGTTTGTGCCAAATGCCCTGCAACATAAAAGAAAATAAAAAGCACAAATGTAATCAACAAACAAGTAAACAGAAGAAAGTTTCCGTTTGATGGAAGAATAAAGACAAAGAAATTTATTATAAAAAAATATACAGTGATATAAGGTCAGTAAGCTGTCCTAGCTCTGGTGGAACCTGCCCTGATAACGCATTTATGCTGATACTCCTATGAAAAAGTTGGGATTCATCATTATATATCTGAAGTCTAAGATGTATTCTTCATGATATAGAGGTCAAGAATACAATTTGAGTTTAAAGTATCAAAAAGGGATATGGCTTACATGTACTGCATACGAGTTAAACTGCCAATGGAAGGTGACAAGGGACCTGTCAAGTAATTCTGGGCTAAATTACTGTAGCAAACAATTCATTTTTTATCATAATACAAGCACAGATACTCATAACACAGATGTATATATTTTTAGGTTTTAAGTTTCTATTGTAGTTAACAGTATAGTTAAGAAATAGCAGAATGCATACAGATTTGTAAGGTATCTCAAAGTCCAAAGTCCTTCTGGGATCGGGCCCACAGCGTCCATTGCATAAACTTTTCTGATGAATTACGGGGAAATGATGATTGTTAAAAGATAAACAGAATGCATATAATAAGTAACATTGAAGTGGCCAAAAGACAGATGTTCTAAAGTTCATTCAGACATGACAAAAGCACTTACAGTCGGGTGATGTGGCAAGTAGTAGAATTGGGGATATTACAGTCGCATTTGATGCCGGGATTGTAACCCTGGGAATCGAAGTCGGTGGTAGTGTCAACGGCAGTGCCGCTGCATAATTCTCCGCTTATGTTCCATCCCATATTTGATACTGCACTTTCTGCTATTCCCCATTGGCTGAACATTGCATTTATAACTCGCGCTGAAACACCAGTTTTCTTCAGTTTCATTCAACATGGAGTTCTTAACTATGGTACTAGTAAAGTAGTGATCATATTCTTCAAATTAACAAAATCGATAACTTAATTCAACAGTGACTAGTCGTGATCTTGATTTTGATCTTCATTTTCAAACCTAATGGCGACAGTCTCAATTTTTCGTACTACCAGCATTTGCCCGTTAAAGCGGGAAAATGAGCAGATAAATACTGATCTAAGAAAAATCGGTGGATAGTTTCACAAACTGTCAAGTGCAACCTTTATTTTTTAGTTGAATACAAAAAGAACCCTAGTCAATCTAAGCAATTCCCCATAAGGGTTATGAATATTTGTTCTAAAGAGTTCTCATCCACGTTAAGTCTATAAAATTTAGAATTTCATATATAAATATATCACTGTGCTTTGTTTGTTTATTTAACTGATCACCGTACAATGAGTGAGGAAAAAAATATGTACTGCTAAACCTTTATGTATAATAACCATAAAAATATTTTTATTTTCAAAAAAAAAAAAATCATTATTAACTTTTTTCTATTCTTCTATTAATGAGTTGCAAAAAACAACGGGGTATCATTTTTTAGGTTAAAGATGTTTTTGTTTAAATGGAAAAGATAAATTTGCATAAATGGTCCCTATGGTTTGCATATTTCTTTGTCTAAGATCCAAAATGTACCTAAAACAAACATCAAATGTTTTAAAATGTCCATTTTTGCCCTTTAATTTTATATGTTTATTAACTATCGATATTACCCCATCCTCACACTTGATGTTTCTTTCCTTTAATATCACATGCCTCCTCATTAGACCCTTTGTTGGCCACCTGCAACATTATAAACCACCCCACCGCATATATAAGGTAGCATTAGACCTTTTTGTTGGCCACCTGCAACACTATAAACCACCCCACCGCATATATAAGGTAGCGTACAAAGCAAATTGGTAGCCCAACATGATTTGGTGTGTTTGCACGTGACGTGTGTTCTCCAAGCAACAAAAAAAAATCGAATTCCCTTCCCGTGTCTCCTTCTTAATCGATAATCGGGTATATGTATATACCTCTTTACGTGTGTGTGTGTGTGTGTTTTGACAAGAATAAAAATCGAAGTTCCTTTCTCTTTTGAATTGCATGTGAACAGGGGATTTCCAAGGAATCGATACACATAGTTTGTCTTCTGTTCATTCACCGGTTTTCTTCCTCCCCCATTTCGCTTTTCAAACATGAATCAGAAAGAAAAGAAGATATGTTAAACAAGTTTTTTTTATTAGGCGTGATGCTGGTGAGTTTGCTATGGTGGTAATGTTATGGAGAGATGTGGTTGTAAGGTGTATAATCTCTCAACCAGGTAATGGTTTAGTTAAAAAAATGGGGCGATGAATTGGTGGTAGCTAGGGTTTTTGTGTGTCTGGCTCACAACTTCAAGGTTGTTTTTTATAAAGAATATGAAGGGCTAGTGAGAGCAGGTGGAGGTTCGGGGATGGAGGAGAAAAGGAGATCTGAGGAGTAGGGGTGAGCAAAAACCGAACCACAAATCGAAAAACCGTATAAACCGAAACCGTAATAAAAACCGACGGTGCGGTTTTTGGTTTTGGAAAAACC